CCTGGGCCAGGGTATATGATTGTTGCTGCAATCATCTTCCTGGGTAAGGAGGCAACATGCTGTGGGGGGTGTGGCCACAGGAGAGCTGAGTCACCTTATGGAGAATGATGTTCTTGGCGAGTTCCCGGGGCCTACAGGGGACTTTGCTTGCCCCAGAAATACAATTTTATCATGTTTAGTCACTGAAGAGTTGGAGCTGTTAATTGCCACAGCTCCGTGGTTCTCAAAGTGTGGCACCCAAGTGACAGCATCATCACCTGGGAACCTGTTAGTCTCAGGCACCCAGCCCTGCTAAATCAGACACCCTGGAGGTAGGACCCAGCCGTCTGCGCCCAGTGGGGTGGTGATGCAGGCTGACATTCGAGGACCACTGCTCTGGCCCATCCTGGCTCACATAGCTCCCCATTCCAAATGTCCTCCTGGCAAAGCGGGAGTCTTCAAGTGAGTCCTATCAATGAGACACAAGTCATTTTCTAAAGTTTCTTCGTTAGTTATTCGTTTTCACAGTGGTGAAATGATCCAATGATTTCCCCCTGTTGTAGGGTCTCAGAACTACAAGGGGATCTGTAAGCCTGCCAGGTCACTCTTTCTGCTTTGAACACAGTGGTTACAGGACTGCGTTTAACGAACACATAGAAGAAAGAAGAAAAAAGCTTGAGGCTGCAGAGAGAAGAAAGAGAATTATCTTTATTTTTCCAGGCACAGCCACTGGCTGTGGGCTGTGCTGACCTGCCTAGATTAGGAAGCAACAGCCAAATTTAGTATGTGATGTGCTTGGGGTGAGATATAACTGGTTTTCCTGGAAGGTACTCCATCCCAGGAGCAGACAGAATGAAACGTATTTTTACATTTTTTTCCCAAGCTCCCCTCCCTTCCTTTAGTATCCAATGGGCTCCCTGTAAGCAAGTTAAACTTTTGGCCTCATTTCTCCTGTATTCCCATCTTCCCACCTTAAATGCATCTCTCTGGGGACACTCCAAGATAATCCAATGAAATAAATGTGATCTCTGGTGCCTTCAATAAATGTCTAAACTTAACAATGGATTTAGGGGGGCATGTTTAGACAAATTGTTACAATTACTCAAAGAAGTGCTTATTTATAGGTAGCATTTCCATTGAGATTTAATTCTAAGTGGTTTTATTCCTTTATCTTTTCACTTTGAAAAATTCCAAGCACACAGAAAATTAAAATAAAAGTATAATGAGGGAGTGACATCAGCAGGGTAGCCAAATAAGAGGTCTCTCGTTGTATATGTCCCTCACAAAAATAATATGGTGCCCATCCATGGGCACTGGTACCTTGGCAGGAGCTGTGGGGCCACACTTTGAGTAGCAAGGATATAAAAGTGACTTTCCTGCTTCTTTCCCTTCATGACAGTGACTTGGGAAGCGCCCAGGCCTATTTCTTGTAGAATGATCCGCATTCTTGGTTTTTCTGATTGTTTCATCCTATCAGTTAACTAGTTTCTCTAGCCTCTGTATTTACAGGCATACCCTCATTTTATCATTTTATTGCACTTTACTTTTATGTTTTGCTGATACTTCCTTTTTTTTTTTTTTTTTTTTTTACAAATGGAAGGTTTGTGGCAACCCTATGTCAAGAAAGTCTATCGGTGCCATTTTTTCCAACATTTGCTCACATCATGTCTCTGTGTTACATTTTGGTTGTTCTCAGTATTTCTTTTTTTCTTTTTTTTTTTTTTTTAAATAGGCAGTTTCTTTTTTTTTTTTTTTTAAGATTTTATTTATTTGACAGAGAGAGAGAGATCACAAGTAGGCAGAGAGACAGGCAGAGAGAGAGAGGGAAGAAGGCTCCCTGCTGAGCAGAGAGCCCGATGCGGGGCTTGATCCCAGGACCCTGAGATCATGACCTGAGCCGAAGGCAGAGGCTTTAACCCACTGAGCCACCCAGGCGCCCCTGTTCTCAGTATTTCGAACACTTTCATTATTATTGTATTTGTTATACTGATTGGTGATCAGTGATTGTGACTCGCTGGAAGCTCAGGTGATGGTTAGCCTGGGTTAGCAAGAAACTACTTTTAGATTAAGGTATGTACATTGTTTTTTAGACATAATAGTATTGCACGCCTAATAGACTACAGTTTAGTATAAACAACATTTATGTGCACTGGGAACCCAAAACGTTCATTTGATTTGCCTTCTTGCAATATTAGCCATCTGGCAATGGTCTAGAACCGGACCCACCCTATGTCTGAAGTATCCTGTACTGTCAACTGGAAAGTAGACGTACTGGCTTAGTTAATTTCCTTTTGGATGTTTTGGTCTAAAATGTGATACAGAATCCTTCATGTTGTATCCCAATGGGAGATGCATCATGTCAGTTATCCTTCTGTTTAGTGGTGTGTAATCTTCGAGACGACTCACAAGTGGGTCAAAGCAACAACCTCATTTTCCCATTGTAATTTTTAAGTAAAGAGGTGAAAAATACATGCAAACCGACAGTCTCACTTAACCACACAGAGAAAGAAAGCTCCCAGTGGTGAGACCTTCTGGGCCAACTTCAAATGGTCCCGTGTCTGCTACCTGGGCCACAGTGGGCTTCTCCTCCAAAGAGGGGGTGATCTCTGGCCCACCCTTCTTACCTTCACTCCCCTGGATCCCAAAGTAGGGTTGCCTTACGGTGACAGCGGTGACCACCACCACAATAAAGACACCAGCAGATAGGAATGCTGAGTAGCCGGCATTGTGCCAAATTCTGCAAGGTAAGTCTGATGACTGCCATTTTACAAATCCGAGAAGAGCCTCTATTAAGCAATGAACTCCAGGTCGCCAGAGAAATAAGAATGTTTTTCTTTAGCTCTCTGGTAGGGCAGCTGTATAAATCCAGGCTGTGTGACTCCTAGGCTCCTGTGCTTAACTGTTACACCCATGGCCACCCTTGCTTCCCGGGCATGGCTGTGAGGGTGATTGTACCATACGAGGGTGCACCACTTCCTGCTTCCGGGAACGTTCCTGAGAGTCTAGGCACTTGGTATCTGGGGGGCAGACTCCAGGCCACACTGAGATTTGACTCTTTGTTCTGACATTGATTATTCTCATGGGAGCTTACTTCATGCCCCCTCTTTCCTCCCTGCAAATAGTCTTTTTATGATTCATTAAATAGACCCCTGCAGAAGTTTCCAGAACCCAATCAGATACAGCTAATGTCAAGCCTAAATCTTTAAAAAAGCCCAAGTTCAAGAGAAATAGCAGATACATTGCTTCTACAGTTTAAGACTACATAGTGCATTAAAGATAAGATTCTTAAAAGATGTCACTATATTTTATTTTATTTTATTTTTTGCTAAACGTGCATAGCACCTAGCCTTAATCATTGTGAGACCACTACTACCACTAACACCAGGAGCCAACAATACCAGCCAGCCCTCAGTGATACATACGACGTTAGGAACTACATGGGACTCATCACACACAAGGTTTTAAGTGCAATTTTCACCTTCATTTTACAAAGAAAGAAAATGAGGTTTGGAGAGATCTCCGTTTCTCATGGCCATCTAGCTGGTGAGTACCAGATGAGAAACCAGGTCATGTAGGCTATGCTGTCGAGACCAACAATCACTGTTACAATTGCCCCTGAAACATTACCGGGGTTCAGGACGCTGACCATGCCCCACCACCACACACTCCCAAATCCACCTATAACTTCGGATCCTTCCAAAACTTTACTCCGGACAGCCAGCCATTGGCAGGAAGCCTTACTGATAGCATAAATACCCGATTAACACATATTTCTTGTGTTCTGTGTTTTATACACCGTATTCTCCCAATAAGACAAGCTAGAGAAAAAAAATCATAATAAATCACCAAAATACATTGAGAGCACTGTTCTGTACTTATCTTAAAAAAATTAAAAAATTCGCATTGCTCAAGAGTCACCTGTAACTCCATCCCCTAAAGAGAAGGATGGCTGTCGTGCTTCCCAAGTCTATGCCTTCGCACATTTGTTCACCATCTTTGAGAAACCAGGGCGGTGTTTCTGGACGCAGCAATCTGGAAGGTGGACAGGCCTTAGCAATCTGTTGCTGGAGGGCTCCTATCTCACATGGCCGGGCTTTCCCTTTCCTGTCCATGTCTCTACTTGAGCATGGTACTTGGACTCCCACCACCAGCCAGATTTCCTCTCCACCCTGCTCCCTGGAGGCAAGGTTCCCTTTTACGTGAGCCCCACTCAGCAGACCCAACTAAAACTAGCCCACAACGCTGGGCTCAACTAGTTTCAAAACATAAGAAATGAAATGTATCACTCTAACTTCAATTTCTTTGCATTTGTAACGCCAAAGTGTGTTTATTATTCTGATACTTGGAACTCTCAGAATATCTTTTTTTCTACTAAAAACTGTCTGAAATACAATGGTTAGGCTCCTGTTCTATCCTGTGTAAGTCAAATAAGGCTTTAACAATGTAGTTAAAACGATGCTCATTTACAATAAAGAGCCCAGGACAAATACCTGTCACAATACTAATGATATTAAAAAAAGAACAGAAACAAAATGTAAGAGAGTTGGCATTTATTAAAGTCTGTAGCCTTGGGAAAAAAGTATGTGTAGAGAAAAATGAAACCAGAGGTGCAAGATTTTGGAGATTTTAAAGGAAGCTTCTAGAGCCTTCAAAGGACTTCAGAGGTGGTTGAGGGCACAGGTTCTTGTAATACCTAATTATATTTTAAAGGAAAATAAATGTCCTTCTTTTCTCTAATACAGATTCGTCACCAGCCTCTGACTCATCAAAAACGCTCAGGGCTTTTCCTAGGTTGTGTGACTCACAAAAGGAATGAAAAGAGGCAGGAGAGGTTTTTCTTGAGGAAGCGGAGTAAGAAAATAGAAAAAGGGTGATAGAAGGGATAAAGAGACCAGTCGGGATGCTGGATGAGAACTGATCTGAGCTATGAGTGTGCCCGCTGTGTGTAGAGCCCAGGGAAGGGAAGGCAGAGTGATGGGCCAAAGACGAGGTCTGGCATTCCCAACCTCACACCTCCAACAGTCCCAAACTGCTCGACTACCGTCTGGAGAAAAGGAATATCTTTTGTGGGCTCGCGTAGAAAAGAAGGGAGACACTGTTTGTGCTGTGTATGGAAAACAGTTCCCTTTAGGAAAAAGGAAACAAAGTCTGATTTGTAGTATCAATCGATTGCGGTGTTGTAAACACTCCACCATGGGCGATTTCCAGCCGCAAATGGTTTAATAACTGGCTCACAAAATTCCTGAATACTTAACAGCCTGCTTCCACAAGCTGGTGTGAACCAGCTCCAACACGCCACTCCATGATTCAACAACCCTTTGCACGTTCGGAGGGCTGCCGGTCAGAGCCACCTGCTCAAGCTGTTCTGATCTGTGACGGTGATGTTGGAATTATTTTGACAGTTACTTATTAAAAACTAGCAGGATAGCCATGAAGTTCAGCAAAAGAGTAGATCTCAAAAGCACATCCTGGCCTAAAAGCCACCAGAAATCAGAGGGCAGAAGTTACTTGATGAGTCTAAATTTAAATTCAAGAATGATCACATAGCCGAGTTCTCTGGGCTACGTTCAACATTCTGGAGACTCTTTCCTGCCTATGAGCTTTTAAAATGTAAGAGGAAGAAAACCACCAGTGACTTTTCTGGAAGAGTTTTAAGAACTTAAAAACCAGGGCCTGTTCTTAGTAAAAGCTTAATGCGTTTCCAGAGTGGATGAGACACGAAAGTACCCGTTGCCCTCTTACTATTTCTGGGGAGCAGGACTTCTCAGACTCCAAGGGCCCGATGTGGTGGAAAGTTTCTTGAGTGGAGTGGGGTACTGGGGAGACCTAACCGCCATGGAAAGAGCAGCCTTGTACACCCAAGAGGGACAGGAGAGGACCAAGCCATTGTCTGCCAGCATCCCGGATAGGCTCTTGACTACATGGTCACCATGATCTGATCTAGGGGTTTCCGTGTTAGGTCGGGAACCGTGGCCTCTTTGCTGGGGTACCCCACTGGGAGCAGCATCAGCAGCTTTTCATTTGAGGGGCGGTCCAGGAGCTCCCTCAGTCGGGGGCCACAGTTGAGAGGAGTGGTAGTGACAGTCACCAGTCCAGCATTCTGCAACAGGAGGGGAGAGAATACATGGGCAAGTGAGGGGGAAAAGAAGTCACAGCTTTGCCCTTAGCTTGGGGACATGGTGGTCCCTGTGATGCCTGCTTGTCCCATCCTTTCCCAGAAGCCAGCCCGGGCAGTTGTACCTTGAACTTCACCTGCTCTCCTCAGTCTCCCAGTCCCCACATTCTTTTGACCCAATGGTGAGAGGCTTTTTGAAGAAGAAAAACACTAGTCTTATTTTTCACTGATAGTTAAGAAGTAGGAATGGTTATTTCATGGAAGGAAATGTGAGGAATCTTTTTTTTTTTTAAGAATTTTTTAAAAGACTTTATTTATTTATTTGACAGACAGAGATCCCAAGTAGGCTGAGAGGCAGGCGGTGGGGGGGGGGCGGACAGGCTCCCTGCTGAGCAGAGAGCCCGATGCGGGGCTTGATCCCAGGACCCTGGGATCATGACCTGAGCTGAAGGCAGTGGCTTTAACGCACTGAGCCACCCAGGCGCCCCAAGGAATTTTAATACACCAAAGGAACATCCCCAGAAGCGGGGAGTTCCTATGTTTATATAATCAACATTGAAGAAGAGTGTCATCCCCAGCTAAAAATACCTATGTCTGATCACAGAAGACCCAGGGACCTGGGGATCCGTTGGAGGTAGAGGAATTACTCCATCAACTTCTCCTCAAACCTCTCCAGATAATAAACCCCTAAAAAATTCATGTGCAGCTTTGAGATGTCTCCCAAGCTAACTATCTCCATCCCCCCTACTTTGCCAACTAGAGGGACACTGGAGAGAGTGTCCAGAGCCAGACAGAAGTTCTGGAACTGACTTGGACTGTCCTGCAGGAGAGGCTCTTTGGTGAGGTCATTATGGGATCTGTGTAGATGGGGGTTTCAGGAAGATTCCTCTTGCCTCCCTCACAAATAGGACCTACACCCAGAATTAGGCCTGAGGTGCCGCTAGAGGGCAGCAAACTCAACACTAACGGGACGAGGCTGCCGACTCAAGAGCTTGGGAAAACCTCTCAAGCTAAGCACTTCTTCTTCTTCTTTTTTTAAACATGTACTTTAAGGAGGGCATGTATTGCATGGAGCCCTGGTTTCTTTTCTCGTCTTTTTTTTTTTTTTCTTGGAGAATTAGTTTCACGTGTTTCTGTTTTTGTTTTCCTCCCAACACCCTAAGATGAATGAACAGTGGGGCCATATGGTCCGACCTCACAGGTCACTTCCTCTATTTTAACCACTCACAGATTCAGGAAGGAAATAAGGGGTCACTTGCTTGAGGCTGACTTCTCAGGGAATCTAAAAGCAAGTGTCTCTTCGGTGTAACAACGACTATATTTTGCAAGGTGTTTTTGGCATATGCAGTTTTCCTTGAAGAAGCATGTAGGTTTTGGGAATTGCTTGTCCCTTGATGGTACGATCACTTGTCCTTATAATCTTGTTTGCTTCTCTTGCTTTATGGGTTTTCTGTCTCTCTCCACCAGTGGACCCCGGTTTCCACTAGAAAGCACACACAGCTCACACACGAGGCAGCTACCCCTGGGACCTCCCCTACCCCTGCCCGGGGCCTGTCCAGTAGAAGGAGTCAGAAGCTATGGGTTTAGGGAATGAATGGAATCATGTAAAAAGTGTACGTCAATTCCTGCTCTATTTCATGCTGAACAGTGCTCTAGCTCCTACATAGTTGGATTTTTTCTTTTTTTTTAAAGCACATAGAGATATCTTTCTCATGCAATACAGTGTCATCTCGACTTTCCAGGAAGAGCTATGACAGAGCCCTGTTCGGAGCACTGTCATCATTCCACTGGCTCCGACAGCTGTGAGCACAGCTAGGCGGTGTGTCTGCTGAAACCCTTCAAGCTTCCTGTTGTTACGGTTGCTGGCAAACACAGTGTTTTCCTGAGCCTGATGTTGTACGTAAGTGAATTTCTGGAAGAATCCCAGTTTGTGGCAGCATTATACTCACCTACCCAGCTTTCTAGGGTGACTTTTTTTTAATACATCAGTCGCCTTACTTAGAAATCCAGCTCTAGATAAACAACTTCCAAATGTCTCTAGGCTAGAAAATTGGCTGAAATGTGTGAATAAGGCCACTGTTTGGCCCTGAAGCCTGGCTTCTGTCTTTGGGGTGGGCTGGGCAAGGGAACATACCTGCAGGGCAGCCAGGAGGAGACCGCAAGCAATGGAGACACTGATCTCGTTGTAGTAGTGGACTTTCCTTTTGCCATTTGCGGCAAAACCATGAACTTGCTTGAAAATCAGAATCAGAACGGGAGCTGTGTCCAAGTACTCTTTAATCCAATTGGTTCTGAAGGGAAAGAAAGATAAATCAGAGACTATTTGCTCATAATGATTTTTATTTCTTTTTTTTTTTTTTTTTTTTTTTTTTTTTTTTTTTTAACCAACTTGGCTTATTTCTGTCTAAAATAAAAGCATTTTCTCGGGGCACCTGGGTGGCTCAGTTGGTTGAGCAATGACTCTTGGTTTCAGCTCAGGTCTTGATCTCAGGGTCCTGGGATGGAGACCCATGATGGGTTCTGTGCTCAGTGGGGAGTCTGCTTGAAGATTTCTCTCCCTCTCCCTCTGTCCCCTCACGCACTTTCTCCTCCTTCTCTCAAATAAATAAATAAATAAATATTTACAAAAAATAAAATCAAAGCATTTTCTTGTCTTTTATATTTCAATTTTTACAAGAACAGAATTTTTGTGTGTGTCTTATTCATATTTTTCTGTCCAGGGTCATTCAATCCAGTAAACATGTGTTTGTAAGGATATAGCATGACAAGGCTCAAGAAATGCTGAAAGAGATGAAGATGGTCCTATAACCCAGAGGGCACTATGGAAAACTTGGCAAACTGAAACCTGGTAAGTGGAATTAAAGAAAAGTAAGTCAAGTACATTAGGAGTTCTCCAAATGAAGGGTTGATCATTTTAAATGAGCAGATCAGAAGAACTTTTCCAGAGTTTCCCTTGAGTGGGGCGCTGAAGACCAGATGGAAAGGGGGCACAGGGAAGGGCATCCTACTAAGTCGATGAGTAAAGGGAGAGTCAGGACAGAGGATGATCGGCAGGCCGGAATTTTCAAAAGCCTGGTCGCCCAGAGAAAGAGGTACAAGGTGGAGCACAGGGGGGCTGTTATTTACTTCATTTGGTAGATAATGGAAAGTGACCACAAGCTCCTGAGCAAAAGCTTCATGTGATCGGGTTTATTTCTGAAAGAGGCAGATTGCTATGGCAAATGGACTAGGAGAATTTGGGGAGGTGTAGAGGCTGGAGCTGATATGTCTGATATAGGAGCAAAGGAAAAGAAAAAGATGATGGTGAGGTTTAACCAAAATCACTGGTGCAGAGAGTGTAATGTTGTCCATCCAGTTGTGGAGAAAAAGAAGGGAAATTTGTGGGAGTAGGAGACAATTTATGTGAGGTATTAATATTAAGTCTCAATTTTTGCTTTCCAGCTAAGGAGCCTATCTTTCTCTATTCCATTACTGTATCTGATACATTTGGTGAAAGTTTTATTCCCACACAGGTACTCAAAGTAATATTCATGCAATGCTATATATTATATTTTTTTGGGGGGGGGATACAGACACATTAGGTCATTAATTAACAAGGGATGATTTCATTTTAAGCCTAGTTATGCTTCACTGTTTTAAAACATACTAAACTCACTTGTGCAGTTTTCTATGGTTCCTCTTACACTCTTAACTTCTACAGTTTACATTTCCAAAACTACCTTCCCATGCTTCTATCAGCTTACATGCTTCTCGGCCTTTTGGCTAAGATCAAGTGTAGTCCCACACTTCAGTCAGCTTAGTCACATTGGGCTATGATCAATCCTTTTCTCCTTACAAACATGGAGAATGGTCATCATTTACAAAGAGCATAAACTGTGGAGCTGATGGGTGTTGTCATGTTGGGCAACTTCCTGAATGTCCCATGGCTCAGCTCCTGCATATGTAAAGAGCACTATCAGACACTTACCCCATACAGCTATTGTGTGGGTGAGATCAGTCAAATAGATAAAATACCTAGAAATGTGCCTAATCTAGCACACACTGATATGTGGGTGTAAGCATTACTACTACTACTATTATTTTAAAATGGATAATTCAAAAAAAAATTTTAATGCAAGATGAAGATTAAGCAGTTTACCTTGGTTCAAAGGCAAATTAATAATTTCAGTGATTTTTGTACTTTTCTTTTGGCCTGGACATACATTAGTATCTCATATTTCTGGTTTGTTAAATTTTACAGGAATTTATTATGACATCACATTAAAGCTAATAAAAACACAGCAACAAGACCTATTAGGAGAAGGACAAATAGGACCTCCTGCCTGGGCTAGAGGGCTTAGACCCACAAACAGAAAAACAGAAGGTTTGACAGGTAGGTTGGACCCAGGTTGTATATTGAGTCTTTAATGACAGCTATGGGCTTCAAAACTGACTCAAACAGGATGTCAGGATATATGCTCATTTGAAATTCAATTCAACAAACATTTATTCAGTTACCCACTATGCATCAGCACTCTGCTAGATGGTGTAATGTAAGACATCTTAAATCTGGACTCCTAGAGTTTTTATGTATACGTGTGTGTACATACTGCCTGCAGAGAAAGTCTATAATCTTTCTGAAATATGGCCTATAACACAAGAAGAAAAGTAAACCAATAATTAAAATGCTATGTGATAAAATGGCCATATTAGATGCACAGAAAGTGTATGTTAGTTTCTTGGAGCACGGAGATGAGAGAGTGACTAATTTTGCCTTCGCTGGGGAGAGGACCAGGGGCTAGAGGCATTCTGTAGGCACTGTGCATGCAAAGAGCAGGCCATCCGAGGGTAGGAACTCAATTTGACCCATCCCATTTTTTTCCCATGAATATGCGATAAGGTTCTTATATTTATTATTAATATCCTGTGCTAGTTCCAGAGCATGGTAATAAGTTACAACTCCATAAGACATCAATTTCTTAGGGTTTAAATATCTTAGGAAAAATATGTCCTCTGGGGCCAAATAAATGAAACAGGAGCAGAGCCAAGAGGCCTTCTTCCCCTCCCCCAGCCCTGACTACTGGATGAGAGGTCCCCCCTCTTCTCCCCAGGGCTGCAATCTCATTGCCCTTTCTTGTCTTACAGGCTTGGATCACACTGGGGTGTTGGATAACACCCCAGGACTGGCCACGGAATGCCTACAACTGAAAGCCAGAGGTATGAAGACCTCTGTATTCCAAGTGCCAAGAACTCAGAGCAAGTTTCCCTTCTTAGAAGGAAGAACCAAATCTCGGCCCATTGTCCCTCCTCATGCTCAGCCTCAGGGCACCCGGGAGGGGAAAGGAAATGGCCTTTGTGGGGAAGGCAGAGTTTATAAAGAGGACTAGGCAAATGACAAAGCAGAGTCTAAACCATTGAAAGTGACCGTTTTGATGACAAAAGTGACTAAGAAGTTATGAAATGCATCTGAGCTATTATGAAGGACGACTGGCCCTCAGTGGGGAAAGAGGACTCCACAAGTCACTGTTAGTCACAGCGACTAGAGGAACAGACAACTTAGAGGACCTACCCTAATGCATTAAATCTAGTCACAATGAGTTTCACCACACTTCCTTCCTGGAGATAAGGAGGCCTGCGCAGTGACTAACACCTAATAGATATTACACTTACACTAAATATCTACTCTTACTAACTGTACCCAAACTAAAGCCTGCTAAATAAGATCACTTGGAAGATGGAAGATGGTATCACTTCAGCAAATGGAATTTACTTCAGTCAAGGTCCTGAGAAATACCTCACAATCTTACATTCCAGATAGGAGAAAACTAAGTCCCCAATGTTTTATTTACTATTGCTTGGGTCAAAGCCCATTTATTTCCTGAAGACGTGGATGGCAAACATGCTAACACATTTAATTTTCATAATGAAGTAAATCCTAGACATTCCCATTTTACAGATGAGAAAACCAAGCACAGAAAGGTTAATAACTCCATCAACTTTTTTTACCTCAGCTTCTTCAGGTCCGTGACCCATTGGCGTCCCATCCGTTTCAAGTAGTTTATTTCCTCCTCCTCTTCAATGATCTCCCGAATCTTGTGCTTCACGTCTGGGTCCTTCACAACCACAAAGGTCCAGGGCTCTGTGTGGGCCCCACTTGGGGCGGTTCCTACCATCCATTAAATTAAAATTAGAAATTAAAACACAGGAAAATGTGAAAATGTTCATTAAGGATAGATATGATAACTCATACTTGTTCAAAATGAAGTTAGATCACCCGGTGAATGAAGGGCTTGGCCACAGACACTGGTGTGTTGCTGCCACTCCGTTTCATTCTGTATCCCTTTAGGGGCAACAAACCAGCTGAGTTCAAGACCAGTGGTGCTTGGGCTATGGGAACTTATCACCACTTCTCTAATTATGTGGAGGAAAACATCCCTAAATAATTGTGCCTTGACCACTAGGTGAATCCAGAAGGGAAGCTCTGACAGCCCAAATTCTCTGAGATGTTGTTTGTTTTGATATTCTTGAAACAGGATAAAGTCGTGAAGCTTACTGAAAATTATAAAAATTCAAATAGTAAAATGACTTTTAAAGACTTATGAAATGGGCACCTGGGTGGCTCAGTCAGTTAAGCATTTGACTCTTGATTTCAGCTCTGGTCATGATCTCAGGGTCGTAAGATCGAGTCCCACCTCCAGCTCCATGTTAAGCTTGAGATTTTCTCTCTCCCTCTGCTCCTCTCCCCGCTTACACTCTCTCTCAAAATAAAAACAAAATTCACCTTTAAAAAATAATAATAAATAAATGAAATACTCATGAAAGGGAACTGAACTACAAATTGTTTGGTACCTATATCAGAACCCTGAGTGTGGTACTATGGGGTTTGTGGTCCTGCTGGGGACACATGAGATCTCCTGGCCCTGGGTGCTTAGTACACATAAGTCTGTCTTCAGGTCTCATGGGCTATGGGAACCTTCAGCCCACATTTGGGTCAGTCCCAGGATCCTGAGACAAAGCTTCCTAGTGTATCTCAGTCCCCAAGGAGCTTGAATTCTCTTTCAGATTCCAACCAGGGCCATCTTTTTATGTGAGTCACCCTGCTGTCCCAGAGATGGTCTGCTGTTCCTAGTGAGAGAATGTGACCCATAGGTAGGATATTTCAGAAGGAACTATTCCTTTCTCCCTAGTGAGTAATTTAATGACATAATCTCTGCACCAGGGGGGTTAGAACTGCCTGCTTGATGGGGATCTTTGCCTCCAACCACTCCCTGTGGTTGAGAGGGCATGACTGGATTGTGAAATGCAAGTCAAAAGCTACACACAAAGCCCATATTTCTGAAAAGAGTGATTCCAGTTTCCGTTGTACCCATGTTTTTCCATTAAATATTTGCATCACTACACCTAAGAAATAAATTGTTCCCTAACGTTTCTGATTATGCCAAATTCATCTGCACATCATATGTATAAACACACAAATATAGGTAAAGGTATATATGTGGAAGGAACTCAAGGACTGTTATTGTTAAATAAAAAACTAGCCAGTACATTTGTATTCTTAGCTTAAATGAATGCTTTATTCTTGCTTCCTTTCACTTTGAGCAATGGATCACAATAGCCATGTAATATTTCTGCAAATGAACTTAAATGTGACTTATATAGGAATAATACTCAATACTCCAATAGTATTCAAATAGGAAGATTTCTCTTATGTCTCTTCCCCCTTCTTCTGTAATTCTTTTATTCTCCTCCACAGAGATATCAATTTATGTTGAAAATGGGGTTGCTTTGCTGTAGATTACTCTGCAAATTCACATACTAAATGTTGCTAGTTCATTAGAGAACAGTATGAGAGCATCATGCTGTATAATATAAAAAATTTGGTTCCAAAAAGAGAAATGCATAAATGTGAGGGTGTGTGTATATGTGTGTATCCATGTGTTTCAAGAGGAGAGGAAATAAAGGGCATGTTTCTCTTCCAGTATGTAATAGTATGTTCAAAAATTTTAATTTTTAATAAAAGATCATAATATTCAGTAATTTCAGAAACTTTACCCTGTTGTTACATCTGCTCCCAGGAAGTATGTAATAGTCAATAGTTTGTAGAAAGTGGAAATCATTATGTTTCTGGCAGCCAGTTAACACCTGGGTAAGCCTTTAGAGATAAATGCATTGCTCTGGGCTTTGTTCACTGTGTTTGAGCTTTATTGCCCCAGTATTATCACTTGCAGCTGACATTCTCAAGGACACAATGTACCATTGCAGACCTGCTGCTTTGATGACATTATCAATGACTTCCATGGGTACTTGCTCGTTACTTATGAATCGGACAGACCGCCTTTTATTGAGAAGTTCATAAAATTCCTGGGATCGCTTAACCATTTCCTTTTCAGGATACCGGGTGTGGGAGAATGGAATATGTTCCACATTTTCCTCTGAGTCTTGCCAGTCATCAGCATCTGCAAATACAAGCAAGGAAAGCAGGAAATTCAATGATCTCTCTTGGTCACGAAGGGGAGCAGATTACGCCACCCCACAATATGCCTTTTTGACATAAGAATTACATTGAACTGAATTTTTAAGAAACAACAGACACAAGAAAAGTTCTGAAAACCAGAGTAAAACTTACCTTTTTGTAAGGAACACTTACTTTTATAAAGGATACCTCCATTCATAAGCCTTCTCTGTACCAAGAAGAAAAGGACTCTCCCAAGAAAAATTTTTTTATCAGTGGAGAAGGTAGACTTAAATCTGCACAACAACCTTACTCTTTTTTTAAAGTCATTTTTATTTTTTAAAAATTTATTATGTTATGTCAGTCACCATAGAGTACATCATTAATTTTTGATGTAGTGTTCCAAGATTCATTGTTTGCATACAACACCCAGTGGTCCATGCAATATGTGTCCTCCTTAATTCCTATCACCAGGCTCACCCATCCCTCCACCCCCTCTCCTTTAAAACCCTCAGTTTGTTTCCTAGAGTCCATAGTCTCTCCTGGTTCACCTCCCCCACTGATTCCCCCTCCCTTCATTTCTCCCCTCCTTCTCCTAATATCCTCCATGCTATTCCTTATGTTCTGCAAGTAAGTGAAGCCATATGATAATTATATTTCTGTGCTTGATTTATTTCATTTAGCATAATCTCCTCCAGTTCCATCCATGTTGGTGCAAATGGTGGGTATTCATCCTTTCTGATGGCTGAGTAATTTTCCATTGTATATATGGACCCCATCTTCTTTATCCACTCATCTATTGAAGGGCATATCAGCTCCTTCTACAGTTTGGATATTGTAGACATTGCTGCTATGAACATTGGGGTGCATGTTCCCCTTCTTTTCACTACATCTGTATCTTTGGGGTAAATACCCAGGAGTGCAATTGCGGGGTCATATTGTGCCTTCTTGATAACTTCCCATAACTGGATCCTCCTTCCCCAACGTCTTTCTTTAATTTTTAGTAGAAGATGGTAATTAAGGTGGTGGCTTGGGCCATTTCAGGGACTCACTCAATTTTCCTGAATCTGTCCCATGTATACAGGAAGTATATGTGTTATTAAAATCCTTTCTTTTTTCTCTTCTTAGTGTGTCTTTTATTATGTGGGGGGGGGGTGGTTTCCTCAGCCAAGAACCTAGAAGAGTAGAGGGGAAATTATTTTTTCTCCCCTACAGTCATAAGGTGGCCAATAGGGAGAAGGAAATAAAGTTCTCAAAAATGTCTGCAAGATTATCATTTCAAAAACATCAAGAAAAAATGAAAAGAATGAGTCCACAGAATCCTGAACTCTGATCTTGACTATTGGCTACCCAAATTCCATACTGTTTAGAAATCAAGAAAAAGAAAATTTTACCTACACAAAGATGAAGAATGAAAATTTCTATTAATGGTTAACTGGTGTATTTGAAACAATATCCCACGAGCTGAAAACCACTAAGATCATGAAATAAAGTATCTTTAAAGTCTTAAAACAACAACAACAACAACAACAACAAATTGCTGACAATGTAGTAAGAAATTCCTAAGCCAAAACTGAAGGGAAATATGAGTCTGCAGAGGCAAGTAAGCACAGAAGCCACATTTCCTTTGATAGTATTTGCCAATCTCTACATATTTGAATTTTTATTTTTATAAAAATTCAGGAATCAAAGCTCAGACCCATACACAGTGAGAAGGCGAATAAGCTGGGACCCCAAGATTACATCCTTAAAGAAAGCATGCATGATAAATATAACAGACCCCAAGGGGTTATACCATTTGGTGGCTCCTGCCTAAAACTTGAACTTGGAAATAGGTGGCCTTGCTTATAAATGTCTCCATTGTCTAACATACGCAAATGCCAATATACAAGTAATTTTAACTACAATTACTAGCAACCCACCATATACAATCAAGCATAAAAAGAAAACATTTTGAGCAAGAAACAACAGAATTGTTATTTAAAAAGTCTCCAAATATTGGAATGACCAGACTCAAAAGATAAAACTACTATGATTACTAGGTTTAGAGGGGTAAAAGCGCAAATCTGTAGGGTACAGAAAAAGATAAAAGGTGACATAGAAAATATGAAAAAAATAAACTTCCAAACTGAAAAATAAGGTAATAGAATTAAGAACTTAATGGATGGATTTAAAGCAGGATATACATACCTAAAGAAAAAATTAGTGAACTGGAAGAAAACTCAGAAGGAAATATCTGGAATGGAGCAAGGAGAAACCAACAGATAGAAAGCATAAACGAAGCAGGGTGAGGTGTATATTGGAGGGAGACAAAAGTGAAGGAGAAAGAACCATTGAGAAACCACTACAATAGCCAGAGTGGGATGATGTTGGCCTAGGCTAGTTGTGCAACAAAAGAATGACAAATTCTTGGAGCATCTTGGAGATACAAATGATGAGACCTGCGGAAGTGTATGGTTGGGAGTGGAGAGAGGGAGGGACTAAAGATGAGACCCAGGTGGCAGGCTTTAGCACCTGGGAAGACAGTGGGACCATCTACTGAGATAGAAGATGAGCAATCTGGGGGAACCATCTGGGGGAAGTAGAGGTAGGAATCACCAGTCTGTCATATTTGAGATGCCTGTGAGTTGTTCAAGCAGAGATTCCTAGTGTGAAACTAGAAGTCTGAGTCCAGAAGGCTGGATGTCACTTTGGGAACCTCCCCATAAAGATGAGAATAACAATAGGAACAGAAGGAAGAGAACAAGAGGATCCAGTGCCTGGCCCTGAGGGTCTGGAACATTCCACGTGGAATTCAGGTAAAGGACTAACTTTCCCCTTCAATCATATGTGCATACTTCACTCCTAGGTCTTTGAGAAATGACTGGGGAGAGAGAAGGCAAGAGGGGATGACTTCAAAGACACTGAAAACCTCAATGACAATACTAGGTCAGCAAGTACAATAGTTTGCTCATTGCAGTTAGTGAGAAAACTCCTTATATATTTTACTAGCCAGGGAAGTTTGGACCCAAACTATACACATTTAATGAAAATGCCCAGTTACTCAGTTAAAAGGAAGTAGGTGTGATCGGGGAATAGCAGCAGACACCTATCAGCTTTCTAGGGATCAATTCTGAACCAAACCCAGGTGTCATCAATATCAACCCTGAACTTATCAAATGTGTCAATAAAGACTCTCAACACCAGTGATAACGTCTATCTCATTTGTTATGAAGTCTGACAACCTCTGTTCTTAATAGGTGGTAAATGAGCAAATGCATGAAATGCCTCATTACCTGTTTGAAAAGTAAGTTACCAACTCTTACTATCCATTCAGCATTTGTATAAACTAAAGGCAGTCTAGGTGTATGATATGGCAGTTTCTGCAGCTTCTAAAGTCCAAGGTAAGCGTTACTACCGTAGCAGAATGAAGCAGCTGCAGCCTAAACATGATCTGTGAGCAGGGCAGACAAATGGCCTGATCAATGCTGGGTTGGATTGTCCTGAAAGGCTTGGTCTTCCTGGAGCTTCTCCCAGAGCAGAACGGCAGGGTAGTGAACTGATACCAAAGGTACTTTTCTCCTTCCCCTTGACCTCTTGACTGCTCTAGGAGGAAAGAGAACAGCCACTGTAAGCTAGTCATTTTGTCCCTTGACCTCTTGACTGCTCTAGGAGGAAAGAGAACAGCCAAGCCACTCTGGGGGATTCATTCAGGCATAAAACCCATGTATTTCAAAACAAATGTGTGCAATTATGGTCCACTTTTTGCTATAAGTCTGTGCTGCCACACTTGGGGTTTGCACACTTGGGGTTGACACCAAGAACAACTCACCTTTTATCATTGTTTTAATGCCAAGGAACCCCAAACTGCACTGTAATTAGGTTTAACAGCCAAGAAGTTCTAGGCCACACGTATTCTTTAATGTTCAACACAAAGATGGTTTTCTTTTTTTTGACTGCATGTCTACGTAAGTTGCTTTTGTGTTTTTGCAGTTCTATTTCAAAATCTTTGCAAATGAGCCAAATTTTCGGGTAGGAATCTAAAAGGCCAATTTGTGTTATGTCATCCTTGCTCCCTCCTTGGAATTTTGGGGAACGTTGAGAAGCAATATTAATAAGGGTGAGGGTAATGCAGTTCTTGCAGGAGACTGATAATGAATTTGGAGATGGAGCAAGGTCAGGGCTCAACCCCTGCCCTGAGAACACCTCCTTCCCGACTGCCTCAGCCCTCACCATTTCCACACCGGCCTGTCAGTCATTCAGCACCCTACAGTATATATTTCACTAGCAGCTCCTGAAGTGTATGGCAGCTGGAGACTCTGGGGGATGTTCAGATGAAAAGTTCTTGAATAGAGCAATGTTATTGTAAGGGCTCAGGGCAGGCTGCCCCAAAAGGTGCCACAATGGCATACTGATTATTCTGAATTGAAGCTACTTGGGAAATAGCTGGTATAAGAAGGAAACTCTGACCCTCCTCTGTCCCCTTGAAAGCAGGAAATAAATCTCTCATGAAATGTACTCCACCGATACTAGAAAGTAGTGTATATATATATAGAGAGAGACCCTCATCACCAGGGACAGGGACTTTAGAGTCAAGAAACCTGTATAAACAAATCTTTTTACTTTTTACTAATCTACTACCTCAGCCCAAATTCTGTTTAGAATTCCTTCCTAATTGAAGCCTTCAAGCATTTGTTTTCTTTGTCCTATCAACTCCTCACAAATTTATTGCCTCTGTTTAGAATGTATAAAATCTGCCTGGCTTGGTCATTTTTTGGGGTCTCAATTTTATTATTGGGTCTCTGTGCACACGTAATTAATTGTGTTTTTTTTTTCTTCTATTAACCTGTCTCATGTGAATTTAATTCTTCGAGGAGCTTGAAGAACCTTGAAGGGTAGAGAGAAATTTTTCTTCCCCATGCTATCCTAAATGAATTTGACGAACTTCTTTCTGAGCCCCATCATTTCTTGAGGTATCTCAGTGCCCCCCCTTCTACCTCTGTGTTGATCCTTACCTTCCCCTAGGGCCCACCCAGACTTGATCTCAAAGACAATGTCTCCATTCAAGTCCTTTCCCTTTGCTAATTTTCTCCCACCTGAGTTTACCTGTCTTTGCCCTAAAGTTTTAAGGTCTTATAAGAGTCTTGGTAAATCAACCTTTTAAAGCTAACCATGTAAAAGTATTAATGGCTGTGTGCATGTGTGTTTGTATGTGTGTGTGTGTCCAAGGATAATGAAAAGTAAAGACAAAGCCAGATTTATTGCTTCCTATAGCAAAGGAGAGTCTCTGTGAACACAGTAAATACTGCTGACCCTTTATAGTATTTTTGACAGTGATGTGCTAGTAAACCAGCTCTAGGAGGGGGTGGGGGAGCCTGACTTACAACACTTGCCAATTTCCGCTGTGTAAATACTTTCATCCAGTCCTCAATTCAAGTGATGATTCAAAAATGGTGCACGAAATTCCTGAATATTCAACAATTGGTTCTTGCTTCTCCCAGAGGCTACCTATAGCATACCACCTGGTTGGGAAGCTTGGAGTTCAGGGATTGGTGGACTCCCAGAAAAGTAATAGGATTAATATCATCTCTAGGGACAGTGTTACTTGTTTGATACTGTTGTTGATTGGTTGGTACTGAAGTGAATTCATCCCTGATTGGCTGGCTTTCAGAAGCAAGAAACTGTCACTGACTGGTCCGCTGGCTAAGTTTTTACTGAGGTGAGTTGTCATTGAGCTATTGAACAGATTTGAAACTGGTTCTGACAGCTGCTTATTACCTCGATTACCTAAATTTTAATTCTTAGGGGTTACCCACATTAGATAATTTTAACACAGGCCTTTTTTTTTAATGACCACGCACAGACATTGAAGAGGCTTATTGTCTCTACATATATATACATATATGTAATATATATGTATATACATATATTTCATATATGATCATATATATACACAGAGATGCATCAATTTGTGTGTGAAATTTATAAGATCATATACACACACATACATGCATATCTATGTACCTATATCTACCCTTACCATTTAGCATTTTTTTAACACATTTTTTTCCCCTTGCTTCTGTCCCCCTTTGCCTTTCCTGCCTTCCATTGGTGTGACTGAGTTTTTTCCGTTTTATCTTTTCTCACCTGGAAGTTACACAGTGTATTAGGTTGAACTAAATGAAATTGCTAACACAAGCCTTTCTTAGTAGTGACCGAACAATCTGGGACAATCAAAATTTCAACTATGACAGTAGTTTTTGGATGGTCAGTAAAGCTAAGTGAAGACAAATTCCTACCAATATTAAAACAAACATATCCTGGAGGGCCTCGGTGGCTTGTTGGTTAAGCAACTGCCTTCACCGCAGATCATGATCCTAGGGTCCTGGGATCGAGCCCCATGTCAGGCTCCTTACTCAGCAGGGAGCCTGCTTCTCCCTCTTACTCTGCCTGCTACTCTGTCTGCTTCTGTACTCTCGCTCACTATCAAATAACTAATAAAAATCTTAAAAATAAATAAACATATCCTGATGAGATGTGTTCCCTCTATCTTTTTCTTTTATTTCCATTTCCATGCACTTCCATGAATCAGGCCTGACTAGAGCATGTTTGTGCAGGATTTTTGCCTTGTTTTAGGGAGACAATCTAAGGTTTTCTCTTTGTCACTTGTCCTCCTAAGACTGCTGTTACAGTTAAACAGGAAACTGAAAGTATTAACAGAACACATGTTTGACCATCCCCAAAGGAAGTCTGTGACTGATATCTAGTAAGCATGGCCATTCTGCACCGTCCCCCCATTCCCCAAGCCACCCACACACATGCTGATTCTCTGGTCTATGAACTTGGAGTAGGAATTCTTTGTGAGCCAAAGCTGGAGGAAGCTTGGATTGTTACCCATTATTTTCCTTAACTCACACTAGGATGGCCTAAATACTTATTTTACTGTATTGTCTCTTACAATTAACTTTCAGCACAGTTTGAATCTGGTATCCATTTGCTGTCATCAAAAGCACCTCCATGTTTCTTTAGAAATGGAATCCTTTCTCTTGTATCTCTTTTAACCCCTGCTCAGTCTCCTCTAAACCTACACCTGGTACTGGTGCCATGAATCCTTTCTTGGACTGTGTACACCCATCCAGGGGTTAAGAGTAGGGACCTGGGGGTGGCAGAGAAGCCTGGGTTCAAATGTCATTTCTCACTGATCACCTGTGAGACCTCAGCAGGCGTCACTTCAGTGAACAAAAAAAATCCAACAATAGACTGAACTCCACATTCAAGCAGAGGGCCCCATGGCTGCTGAGATGCCCCTAAAATTCAACTTATTCTTCTGTGTGAGGAACAGAGAATAAAGAAGCAGAGGATTTTGGAAAAAATGAATAAACAGGAAGAGAAGAGAACCAGACAGGGCCATACAGTTGGCTCTGTGTTCCCAAACTGCAGGCCCAGCCCCCAACCCCTGGTTCCCCACCAGCCTTACCAATCCCTCTCATATCCCCCAAACTCTTCAAACTCAGGGGCTTTTCCTCAAAGCATACTACCTCTGATGTCTTGGGGGTGATGGTCTTTTTCCACCCTCTCTGTTCTAGTTTATTCTCCTGTTAGAAAGACAGCCTAGCAACTGGCTGTGTGTCCAGAATCCAGAACAGACTGCCTGGGTCCTGGCTCTACCAGGACCTGCTTGGGCCGGTTGCTTAGCATAGTTGAGCCCCAGTTTCCTTACCTGTAATGCAGGACAGTAACAGCGTCCACCTTGTGTTGACACGAAGACTGAGTGGTTTACTACACGTTAGCTGGGACGCCAAGTGAGCAGAGCCAGTGTTCTCTAAGAGCCTGCTGTCGTCATTATCCTGAACCGCTCCCCCATGTGGTCTTGCCTGTGGTCGCTTCTCCCACCACAGCCCCTCTTAACTGCAAGTGCCCCAGATCCATCCTCAGTCTTCCTGCCAGCAACATCCCCTTAGGGAATTCGTCAGTTTTCCGGGTTTCAAGTATCCCCCTGTGCTGGTACGCGTCCAATCAGTGTCTCTGGACCCTCACCTGGACTGCCTTTCCCTCTCTGCTTAGATGTGTCATCTTCTCAAATCCAGCATGTCCCTGTGTATGTTCAACATCTTCTCTGTGTGTCCTCTCCCCTCCCCCGTGTGTGATAGTGTCCTTCCACTTCTTCCAGCCTCCAGCTCTCATCCTCCCCTTCTCCCCCTATCCAAGGTATTACCAAACCTTGTTGTTCCTCCTGTAACTTTTTTACCAGGGCAGACCATGACGCGGCTTCATAGCAGATGTCCCTTTGCTTAAGAAAAGTGCTTCTCGACTGGGCCGAGTTGCCATGTGGGTGGGATGTCCTTCGGTGAAATGAAGAGTGAGAGGCAGGTCTGCTCAGAGGCTGCCTGACCTTGAACTCTAGGCGCTACATTCAGCATGGCTGGCTCCCAGCACTGAGTGCCAGCTGTATACACCAGCCCCCAATCCTGAGATTAGGGCAACTCAGAACACATGAGCACATACGTGCACATAGGCACATCGATACACCCCCAACCATATCCAGGCGGCCTCTTCCCAGGGTGGGGGTATCACTAGCCCAGCCGAGAATCACTGAGTCTCTTCCAAATTGAATCCATCCTACAAACCCACCTCAGACGAACCTCAGACCCTGATCGCTTAAGCCTCAAGAACCTCTCCCTTCCTGCCTGCTCCCTTACAACCTCGGGTCAGCCATGACTGGGCCCATGCTCACCACCACAATTCACTTTCACCCATCTCCTCCCCCCACCCAACCCCAGTGCGGTCCTCCTATCTTCTCAGCATCTTTCCCAAGGGCTCCAGCCCGGCTTTTATGCTCTTTCTGCTCCTTTTGCTTGAGATGCCTCCTAACCATAGCTATTCGTGTCCTAGTAAGCGGCCAGGCCTGACTGTCCTTTCCCTGTGGCCCCACCATGCCCCTGTGCCTCCTTGAAACCCCTGTAGATCACTTCGGCCCCTCATTCCTCCCTAATTTTACCTATTTGTTGCCTTGTCCGCTAAACTGGACACCCAGCTTTGAGGACACAGCCGAGTGGTCTCTAAGCCACACAGCCTGGCCCAAGGAAAAGTAGTGATCCCCTCAACCGATGTCACTTTTTACATTTCCAAGTCCTTGTTTCAAACATGACCATTTCCCCCACCAGCAGCCTGGGATATGCCCCTTCAGAAAGATTTCAACAGCCAGAACAGGATTGGGGCCAGGGAAAATGTCAGCCCCTCAGCAGTTCTTTGACTCTTTATCCAGAAAACAAGGGGGGTTGGTGCCAGCAGGTACTAAGCTGACCACGAGAGAAATGACCTGTCCCTGTCACATAGTACTGTAATCTGTACAGTAGACGCTGCCGATGAAACTTCCCCGTGTGTGTTTCCTCCTCTCCATAAGCCCAGGTTTCAATCGGTGCCCAGCAAAACAACACAGAAGGTGGAAGCTAGGCAGCTGTGCCAGTATCCTTACCTTCTTCCACTGCGTGCAGGTCAGAGCTGTCTTTTAGGTCCTCATCCACCCAAGGACGGGCCTGGGCCCTGGCTCTAGTCTCCACCTTTCTTCTCTCCATGTTTCCATCAGCATTTTTAAAGATCCAGGCAATCAAAATGCAGACAACTGCTACCAAGAGTGGAGTCAGGAAAAACATGGTCATAAGACTGACTCTGAATGGTGCCCACGCTTCCCACACGGCATTTAAACAAACAGAGCCCGAACGAGAAATGCTGGGGGATGGGATGAAGGAAGAGAGAGGTGTGCGGCTGTGGGAGGGACCTGGTGAACTCTTGGACTCTAGGAGGACTTTGCAAAGGAGCAAAGATCATGGTGTGTGCCTCCAGGGTGTGTTGTCGGGCTGGAAATTCACATCCCCCTTTTAAAACTGTGCTCTATCAATATATTCTTGGACAATAATTGCCGGGATCTGAGGAAACACTTGAATGCACCAGATCTTGCTAACAGTGGTCTAAGGGGTTTGGTTTTCCTCCTGTATAACTTTTCTCTGAGAGCCCTGTGTCTTCAACTTGCCAGAAGCCAGGAATCACCTGGGGGTCTTGTTTTTAAAAGAAGAGATTTCCAGGCACCAACTCAGATCTAGTGAAAGAAAATGTCTGGAGGGAAAAAGGTAATCTGCATTTTAAAAACAGCATATTTATGAAACGCTGCCCTGATGCTTTGAACTTTTTTAAAGGATGCCTGAGACAACAGATAAAGCAAAGAAATTATCACATTTTGCATTAGAGAAAAACTTTTCGATCTAGGAAAAGTGATCCCAAATCATTAAAAATGATGTTTGGTTAATTACATAACTTAGATAGGATTTGTTTGTTTGTTTTTATTTTTAAGCAACTGTCTTAGAACAGTTAAGTGGCTTAAAAAGAAAATTTTTTCTTCCCTTCCTTGAAGCTGGGAAGTCCAAGATCATGATGGGGCCCAATTTGGTTCCTAGTGAAGGTGTTCTTCCTGATTTGAAGGTGGATGATTTCTTCCTGTGTCTTCACGTGGTGGAAAAGGGAGACCATATCTCTCATGTCGCTTTACAAGGGCACTAATGTCACTCATGAGGGCTCAACCCTCATGACCTCACAGAAACCTAAGCAACTCCCAAAGACCCCACCTCCTTATACCATCACATGGGGGGCGGGGCTTAGAGCTTCAACATCTGAATTTGGGGGCGGGGGACACAAACATCCAGTCTGTAGCAGCAAGATACTCAACTATGTATAATATGATACCATTGGAATAAAAACAGCAGGAAATACTATATATTTATATGTTTGTATATTCATAACATTTCATGAAGGATTATACCACAAATTTAAAACAGTGGTTATATTGGGACTTCTCTGTACAAGTTTTGCAATTTCTTCTGAGTCTATACGTACTTCAAAAAAAAAAAAGTTAAGAAACAACAGTGGCTACCTCTTTTGGATGGGGTGTGGTATTGGATTGAGGGGGGCAAGGGTGGGAGAGTGAATTATTACTCTATATTATTCCATAATTTCAAAATTTAACTATTATGATTATATTACCTATTCAAAAATTAAATAAATGTTATTTAAATAGCTCTTTTATGTTTTGTTTTGTTTTATTATACATTTTAACATTTCTTTTTGTAAGAGACAACTATTATTTTAATAGCTGTTGTACTTATCCTAACTCCAGAGAGCGGTGTAAGATTGTGGGCAAAGTTTAGGATGAAAAACCTGGACTCCAGAGGAGACACTGTAGTTGGGATGGCACTGGCTGCCATGCCCACAGCTTTTTGAAGGGAAGTCCCCTCCCGAGCTCCTCTGAAAGGACATCAGAGGCGGCCATGTATCGTCCAAGTGAATCCAACCCCACACCTGACCCAAGGCAGCTGGTCCGTGTGATGTGTGGCAAACCCATGCGGGGGCCAGCTCACCTTTTCATCCCACCAAAAGTACAGAATAAATAAACCACTCAGTCGCAAGGGAGATACAGACCAAACATGCAAGGAGAGAAATAAACTGGAAGGAAGAAGCACCCTACAGGTCATGAGGAAAGGCAGACGGAGGGGCCACTGGCGGTGCAGGCTTGAGTTCCTAGCAGATCCCACGTCTTAGCTTTGTTTCAGTCCACATGGCTCCTTATCCTCAAAGGATAAGAGTGATTCTCTGTTTCTGCAATCACAGAGCCCAACTCTGATAGTACCAGGACGAGAGGGAGCCAGGGAGATGGGGGGATGGGAGAATGGGAATTTATTACAGCACGGTGGTCAGTTCGGAGCATGTGCAGTCCCCCCTACCCCCCATCTCACGAGGGAATGCGAATAGCACACGGTGTGCAGTGGCTGGTGGCTCATTAAGGTGTGGCTTACATCTCTTTGGTTTCAGACAATTGCCCGGCAAAACAAGTCTTTAGAAGAATTTTGAAACCATCAATAACGTAAAAGGATTAAAAAAATGCTGAATAGATGTTTTTCATCATATTTGGCAACTTGCAGTGGGAAAAGAAGACTCTTACCCTGGATTGCTTGGCCGAAGGCAGTAGGGCGATCATTTGTTCCTTCTTTCGTTCATTCATTTATCCAACATATTTTTGAGGATCAACGTGAAAGGTATTGCATTAGGTGCTAGCAATGAAATGGTGGATAGAACGGAGGGTATATGCCATGGTAGAACCATGGGCTAAGGGGGAGGCAGACAGGATCAAATGTCACAAATGTCACAGTTCAATTTCCGTAAGAACTATTAGGGGGCAGAACAGAGCATGGTTTGGCCAAGACAGTGAGATCAAAGGTTTTCCAGAGGAAGGAACAGTTGAGTTGAGGTTGGAACCATGAGTGGGAGACAATTAGGTGGTGAGAGGAGAAAAGAACCTTCCAGTCAGAGGGTGGGCAAGGCCTGTGTGGGCAAGGCCTGTGTTTTGGAAGGAGATGGCACCTTTGGGGATTGGACACAGGGGATGAAGGGATCAGCTGATGTTAGATGATGCTGGCTTTTGTGGGTCACATAAACAAAATGTATTCTTTACCCTAAATGGAATGGGGATGGGGGTGGGGGACAGGTCAGTGGAAATTTACTGAGTGCTTACCAGCCACTCTTAGCACTTTTTATGTATTAACTCACATATGCTTCACCACAACCTGTGCAATAATTCCCATGGTACAAATGAAGAAAAGGAAGCACAAGGAGGTCAAGTAATGTGCCCAAGGTCAGTGTTATGCAAATGGGTCAGTAATAACCCCTGTCTGTTGGCCTAAAATCTCTCCATGTCATTTACTTTTCCATGGCAAGCTAGGAACATTAACCCAAAATGCACTGGAGCCAAACTAACTTGACTGGGGAAGGGAAGGTGGAATTTTAGAAACTGAATGTTTGCATCCATCCTCCCTCCCTCCCATTCATATGTTGAAACCCTGATCCCAGTGTGATGGTATTGGGAGGTAGGGCCTTTTGAAAGTAATTAGATCATGAGGGTGCAGGCCTCATTGTGAGATCGGTGCTCTTAGAAGAAGAGACCACAGAGCTGGCTAGCTCTGTCTACCACGTGAGCACACAGCATGAAAGTGGTCACCTATGAATCAGGAAGCAGGTCCTCACCAGACACCAACTCCACCAGCTTCTTGATCTAGGACTTCCCAGCCTCCACAACTGTGAGAACTTAATGTCGGTGGTTGAAGCCACTCCTTCTGTGGTATTTTTGTTACAGCAGCCTGAGCTGACTAAGAAATGGCTTTCCATGGCTCATGCTTAGCTGAGGAGGAACACAAACAAGAAGTTTAAAAATATGTATAGCACAGAATAAAGGAATGAAACAGGTGTTTTCAGGTAAAGAGTGAGACGGAGAAAGAATGCAGAGGAGCCGAGGCAGTGAATGATGGTATCTGGCGGGAAGCAACCCAGCTCCCAAGCCTCAGTACCCAAGCCACCTCTTATCCCCAAGCACCTTGTGGTGCTGGTCTCAGCAAAGGGTAGCCTACCTGAGGTTCTTCTTAGATTCTTACGTGCCTATCTCTGTTCACTCCGTGTGAATCCCTACAATACTCACCTGAGCTAGGCTGAGTGGGTCTTCACTGTTCTTTACAACCAGCACAATCCCATGACCAGGCTTCCCGCTCATGATAAAGTCAGGACAGTAAAATTCTCCATAATCACTACCCAGCTTTATAGTAAAGGTTTCTGATAATATCACAGTTTCAAATCAGTTTTACTTTAGAAACAGAGCTTGATGTGCTACGAGACAGAGATGACATATGGCTGATTTGGGGGCGGCCCCGTTCACCTCTCTACTTTGAGTAGTCCTAAACCAGCCTGGGGGATAATGGTGTCTCCATGCTTTGCCTTATCAAGTTAGGAGCAGGGAGTGAGTTCTGAGGGTAAAGGCCTTGCCACGTGGTGTGGGACACTTCACACCATTTAGGATGCTTATTTTGTATTACTCACTTCAGACTCATTTTCCATTTTAATTATTTCATTTCCACAGTGGGGCCAAAAACTGAGTTTTGCTATCTAGAAAATTCAACCTATATTATTTTAAAATGGAGACGATTAGAAATGTCTCTTGTCCTTCCTTTCCCTGGATACCCTCAGTGTGTCCTGATACTGGAGGAGAGGCATCTCGACCTTGGTGTGGGCCTTTTTCTTACTGGATTTCACCAAAAGGTACAGTCTTGAGCAATAGGTACGGTATGCGTGAGCCTCCACAGGAAACATCCTATCTCCTTACTTCTGCCCTTGCTCTTCCAAGCCCAGATCATGCAGCCATTCTGGTTGGACCATTCTCAACCTCTCTCCATGCCCCTTTGAATAGTTCCAAAATCTTCTGGGATGTTCTTCTGTGGTTTTAGGGACTGGGGGAAGGATTACCTCTCTCATTCACTGTTTGCCTTATATATGTGTACATTATTTGAATTTTTTTCAACTGATACATACAATTTTGTATGTTTTTTGATAAAATATAATAACGTAAAACTTACTATTTTAGTCCTTTTTAAATGTACAGTTCAGTAGTATCAAGTACATTCACAATGTTGTACACTCATCACTATGATTTCCAGAACTGTTTCATCATCCCAAACAAAAACCCCCACTATCCCAAACAGAAACAATTAAGCAATAACCGCCCACTTCTCCTTTCCTGGCCTCTAGTAACCTCTACTCCGCTTCTCATCTCTACGATTCTGACTACTCCACCTCATACAGGTGGAATTGTACAATATTTTTCCTTTTATGACTATGTCTTTTACTTAGCATAAGGTTAAAGGTCCATCCATGTGTTAACATGCATCAGAATGTCATTCC